GAGAGAGAGAGAGAGAGAGAGAGAGAGAGAGTAATAATGCGAAACTTACAAGGTAGATATTAGATTCTTGATAAGACAGATCAGATATTCTTAGGTTACTATTTAATCGACGAACCATACCCCTTCCCCACGAACCTACCTTCACACCCCACATCACTCAAAACTATAACACACAACTGCTTAGAACTCCATCACCATATCTTCGCTCCTAAAACATCCTCTATTCTACCAAATACTCCGTTTCTAACAGTATCTTCTCCCTATATCTAAACAAGATATAACACATCATACCTTCACAATCACCGCTCGATCTTGATCTCCTACCCCCAAGTGAGAATACCGAGTCTAGGAAGCTGGGGAATTGTTTTGTCTCGCTTTTTCGGGGGGCTAGAATCCGTTAGTAACATACACCCTGATGCGCTGGATGGTCGCAAGTATATCACCTGAACTTATGTGTTGCTATTCCATTCACGCGATACGAAATAGTCGTGCGCTTTCGCACCGGCAGTCAAAGTGTACATATCATGTGGAGGTTAAACCATGACCGCAAACCCAACGATGGGGCTTCCTTCCTTGTATTACTTAAATAATAGCAAAGCATAAGGTTGTTGTTCGGGGATCGCCTTCCTATCATATCTAACTCATGCATGAGTTGCGAAAATTCGCATTATATTACTTCATCGATATTTATTGAGGCTTCCATTATATGTCTTTAAATCGCACTAATCATGATCTTTCTTTGCCAATAGACATTTCTACGTTGTATTGAGTCAATTAGTATGGAGAAAGGGTTGGGTAGACTTGAATGGTGGATTGTGGCTAAGTAAATCTACTTGGTTCGTACACGCTCGATATCATACTTATTGCGGGTCAGGACAATAGCAAGTGTAATATCTTATATTGTTAGCAGTGACCATGGCTCATAATTCCGTATATAGTCTTCAACAGTGGCCTGTTGTCACAACTAATTAACTCGACTTGATTCATACTCTATGAACGTTACGTGTCCCTCAAAACAATCCAACCATTTTACTAGGTCCATCCTTCGGTTTCGGCAATTGAGGCATCAAAGTTTGAACCCACCCTACAATCTGCGGCGCCTGGACGGAAATTCTGTTACGTTCATTAGCCCAATTCACCACTCAATATCCTATCTGCTCTTCAAAGAAGATCAACATACCTGCATCCCGTAGCAGTCGACTCCATCTTCGTCTTCGATTTACTCTTCGATGATTTATGCGACGCCGAGACCGAGAAGGGTCCATAACCCACTGAGACATTAGCCTCAGTTGCTGAAGCGGAGACGGCGCTTTCGAGGTGTGTGGTGTCGCCCGAGAACTGTGGACGTTAGTGGTGTAACAGTACAAAGGAGGGAGGAAGTACGCTGAGTTCAATATCCGCGGCGATGATCATGGCAGTGGGAAAGGAAGAGAATTGTTGGTATCTTCCGTCTGGAACTATGCCCTTGTTGTAAAGGTCCTTTAATGCTTCTTCACCGGGCGAGATGTTGAAACTGACATGTTAAATATGGTAATCGGTGGGAAGGGAATTACATACCCTCCAGAGTCGAGTTCGGCGTCAGTGAAGAGCTCGGCATGGAGCCAAGGACGCTCGATTTCTACTACCATGCAATCCATTTTAATCTCGACTTCGAGATTGGACATGCTGGACATGGCGTCGCTAATAGTGTTAGTCGATGCCTCCAGCAGGATCGAGGATAACTTACGCGGAACTGGAACTGTGAGAGGCGCCGCCTGATACAGACCAAAGACCCCATCCTGCGTCGACGGATACGGCGTTTGATTGCGCTGCTTCCGAAGTCATCTTCTCGTCCGACTTTGCGGACACCTTGCAGGAAACCTGTTCTGAATGAGCGAGTATTCTATCTCAACCAACAAGGGTGTAGTACTCTAGTCCATTGATCTGCTTCCTGAGAAACGGATTTGCCGGCCATTTCTAGACCGATTTAGCAAAAGAAACACCGACACCGTGCAGATACTTACCTGGATCAGCTTTCAAGTCATCGTCCGAGATGACAATTCCCTTCGCATTAACAACCTGAAGTTGCATTGATTTGGCAGGTGCTCCAATCGATTTAAGATTTGCTTTCAAATCTGCGATCTGTGTATTAATCTGTTCGATTCTGGTTTTAATCCATACCCTTGCTGTAGCGCCCTCTGCTTTCTGTGATTCACGAACACTGGTTGCAGTTTTGCTGAGACCTGCTGTCTGCCAGTCTTTATTAGCCTTGACGAGATCCGCCATGGCCTGCTCCTTTTCTGTAAGCGGTTTTGATACTTTTGGTACGACTCCTTGTGAGAGAGCTACATTGTTCGTTTCGGGTTTACTGGCAGCCAGTTGCGTTCCCTCTGTAGTTCCTGGAATGACAGTGGGTGCAGTACTGGTTTTTCCAACGGTGCTATTTGCACCATTAACCACAGAATCCGCTGGCGCAGGATACTTCTTAAGATATTCATCAGTCGCAGCATTCCTGTCTGTGTCACTCCGGGCAGCTTTCTTGCCATCAGCACCTGCAATGGGCACAGTGCTTTCGGCTTCCATCGCAGAATAAACTTTGGCGTAAGCTCTTTTCAACTGGACATCGCCCGATGTATCGTCGCCTGTGAGCGTAGGGAAGAAAGCACCCGTTGCAATTCCCTGTTATAATTAATTAGCCAAGCCTAAAATTCGAGCTAGCTCTTCTCCTTACCGTGTCCAATGCTTCATGTGAAGCTCTGAGATTTTCCAATCTTCTTATTTCCGATCGAATCTCCGACGGACTCGGGTTCGCGTTTCGTGACTGCCAGCCCAGAACTTTGTTTTTAACAATAGTAGCCCTGCGAAAGTTAGTATGGTATCCGCCAGCACAAAATACAGCAAAAATGCACGTACCAATTGGATGGAGTGAGATTGACGGAGTTATACTCGGATACTCCATCTTCGGCAATAAGCACGAGATTACGGAACGCTTCTTTACTATTCTCAATTCGTTTCATTCCAGACGAGATATCAACGATCCCAAAATTGAAATCAATCATGAATTTATAACCATGAACGACCCAGTCCATGTACTTTGCTTGAATACTATTCTTATACTGTTGGCATGTGAGTGAGCATGTTTTCGTGAACTGAGACAAGACCACTTACATCGCGACCATGTTCCTGCAGCCATTGCATATAAGCCGCTTTTGATTCCTTGATGTCTTCTTTGATTGCTCCTTGTAGTGGTTTGTTACTTTGGATGAAATCGTGTTGTGCGGCGGAATACTTTTCAACCTCCTTCGACCACTTTTCTTGCTTCTCGACATAGGTTTGAAGTTTGGACCGGCCGTTAGCACCTACGCTATCATCGGGCGACTTGAGGTAATCCATGGCATTCTTGTAACGACTAGCTACGACTTTGAGTTGCGCATCGACTATAGTTTCAGGCGCTGAAGAAATCACACTTGATACGGAGACTACCCCAGAAACAGAGGCTTGAACCGGGACAAGGAGATCAAGCGTTGAGAGATAGGAGCGAGCGACACTCCTACCGGTCTTCCCAGACTAAAAAATGTTAATCAATTTGCCCATGGTCAGCTGCTGAGATAAGTGACTTACAGTGAATTTCGACAGAGGGATCATACCATCAACAAGCCTAGCCTCTGCAACCCGATTGGTGAGTGGAGGTCTAATATTTTCGGCAACATTCCATACAAACTCGCTATTCAAAAACATCATTAGCCTTCGTTCCAAGCCATGAGTTAAGACCTACTCATAATTGATGATTGTGCCAGGTATGGAAACAGTCAGAACCTGTGTTGGAGCAACAGGTATGGCGCTTGCAATGGCACTTCGAACTGTCTGACGATGTGAGTTTGAGGTTATTAAAGGTGTAATGAGCTTACCTCTGAAGCAATCTTCATAGCCAATAGGCTTTTATCAGCTTGCGCTTGATTCATCCTGGCGGTTCGAATCGGAAGGCTGGAATGAAGGAGGATAGAATCGCGCTGCCGTGAAGGACTTGTGAAGTGTTTTAGCGAACTGACGAGAATATATCGAAAGCTAATCGCTGTGAAGAAGCGGTCGGAGAAGACGTCGACTCTGATCCTTATATGGAAATGATTTCCCATACCACTCTCTTAACGCCCATTTCACCTCGTCCTTGTCATCTCAGAGATCAATACTGCCATGTTGACGTAGTCAGTCATGATCCGCTGCTTCCAATCCCAATCACGCATCTTCGCGAGCCACGACTCTCGAAGTCGATCCCATGGAATATTGAATCGCGAAAGTCCCACTTCAATATTGAAAGCATTTTAAAGAAGTCCCACCAACAGCCCTTCTGCATCGAACTCAGCTTAAAGATATTCACATCAACTTGCGACGATGTAACCATCACTGCATCTCAGCGTACATGTTTTCCAGATTCAGCGCGGACGAAGACCACATTCAGACCTCTTCAACAGGCCCTAGATGGGAAAGCCTAAACAAGAGAACATCAGCTTCAATATATAAAATGGCTGACGGCACGAACCGCTGAGTAGGTAGATCATTCCTACTATTCACAGATGCTGTGCGCACATTGGTTGTGCTCGAGGCGAAATGTCTCACTTGGCTCCTTCCAGTCACTCTCGTGATGAAAGGAGCTGTAGACGCGGGGAACTTCTAAGCAGAACGGGCATTAGACCCCACGCATTTTGGCGGGCAAACGAACAATCGTTTTCGACCAATTTGGCGCAAAGTTCAATTCGCAAGAGGGATTCGAATATTCTCTGCAATGTAACTTACATTGTACCATATGCTTGGATGGGATGTGGTGGTAGTGGTTGATGATTGAGGAAGAGGTTTGGGGATAAGTTTCGAGGTTGGAGAGAGGTGGTCGCCAACGACACCACTTGGTATTGCAGCACGTGACTAAGTTAGACCATCCTCCATGAATCCATCTATCATCACGTTTAACGAGGCGAATGGAATCCCAGTGGAGTAGAAAGTGCGAGAGTATTGTTTGTATGCGGAGATCAATCCGGTATTCAAACGAGTGAGTTATTTCGGCGATTTCTTACTTTGGTGATACTCGTTTATTGAAACCTAATTGAGAACAAGTGGATACTTTTGAACCACCACGTGTTCGCCCTCTGTGTATTACCATGCAATTCACAGCCTGTAATTCTGTATCGTAGATCTTTGAACGCTTGTTCAAGTGGGCGGGTACCGAGTAAATCAACGAGTCACTTTGGGTCCGACCGATCAGTGTGGTCATATGGTGCGTGTTTGGGCGTGGTTTTGGCATTTTCATTTCAAACACCTCCAAAGAATCATCCATCAACTTGAAGCCGAGAGCGGCTAGACCAGAAAGGAGTAAATAGCTCCTGCGAACTAAGTTGAGCCACTGAAAAAGGATAACAGATTAATGTTCTTCGAGAAGATGAAAGTGGTAACAGGATGAGCCTCAGCATCAGAGAGACATGACAATATCAGACTCACCTTAGACATGATGACTCAAAGTCGAAATCTCGTGTCATAGGCGCTCCGATTGTTGATATGATGTTTGATATTTTTCTAGTTCGAGCGTGGGAATAAAGACGGGTAGATGAAGGCCGTGAGCCGGCGCAACTCTCACCACTTATGAATCCAGCTTTTCCATGCACTGCTCGATATAAGTTGCAATATCGCCCATCGCCATCTGAGCCTCCTTCAAAGCCTCACCAAATGCAACAAAGCCATGTGGCCCTCCGGTATATATCTTAATATACGCCTCACCACCAGCCATCAGCCACCGCGTACCCATCATAACGCTATCATCCAACAGCGGATCCTCAGTTCCACAGGTAAAGAGAGCGCTAGGGAGACGACCACGGAATGGAGCCAAGTTTTCGTAGTATGGTGATACTGAAGGGGACCTCCTCTCAAGAAGACTCATGTTTGGAAGAAAAGCGTTTCGGAAATGTTCCAAGGTTTTCGGAGGTATGATAGGAGTATTTCCAGTATTGACATGGCTTGGTGTTTCGGTAAGATCATAGCAGCCGAAGTTGAGAATTAATCCACAGAGATCCAGCTTCGAAAACGCCTTAAGAAGGTGGAAGACGACGAGCAATGACAGGTGACCACCAGCAGACTATAGAACACCAACATTAGCTCAAGATACTAAGAACGATCCAAATGACCTCCAGTGAAACATCATAAAAATCAGAAAAAGTACATTATGTAGATTAATCAGAGACTGAGTACAGTCCAATCATTGAAATCCCTTAACATGTTTGTTCATCATATTAGAAGTTGGAAACAAACATAAATTACGTACCTCTCCACCTATAAATCGTAGAGGTCCCCCGTAATCCTTCTCGGAATTTTTCACCAAGTACTCGCCCGCATCGAAACAATCCTCAGGTCCTTTCGGAAAAGGATCTTCTGGTGCGTGTCTATACCCAACAGTGACCACGGCCAAGTCGCCAGTGTCAGCATAGAATTGGCACAGCGGATCGCTGGATCTCTCGTCGCCCAATACCCAGCCTCCCCCATGAATATGCATCACAGATCCTCTACATTGTTTACGGTCGGTGTCCGTCGTTCGCTTCGAAGGGTACAGGACTCGACACGGGATATTGCGACCTGGCTCTCGAGAGGGAATAGTGAAGTTGACTCCAGCTGCAATCACTGTTGGCGCGGGAAAAGCGCTCTCGCCCTTCCATCTCATCTCTCGATACTTCGGAGCTCCAACCTAGAGTTGAATCAGCAATGCGGTTATGAAGAGAATATCAGACTACAAACCTCATACCATGCTGGTCCTTTGTCCCCTACAGATAGTAAATACTGGTTAAGCTTGTTCGCTTGCTCGGAATTGTTGGCAGGATCAAACTTCGCCGCCTCAATGACAACATCGGATTTGAGCGGCATGATGTAGGAGGCAGACAAATTGGCGAAATTTGTTCAATTTAAGATTGATTGTATATGTGTGCGTATTGTCAGTAGGAACGCCGGAGGAAGTGTTTACGTTTGATACGTGTAACAGCGAATGATATTGGGGCGCGACTATAACAGCCGAGGATGTCGAACTACTGTAGTGGGGTGGGTAGGCCAATTGACGTGGGGTAGGAGATGAAATCATAGAACATGCCGGCGTTTAAACGTTGCAATATCCGACTCCGAATCTATGTCTTTTTTCGTCCAGTCAGTCGAGACATGTCAACCGCGCGTCCATTGCTACTGGGTTTTGCATTTTGCGGTTTTCGGGCTTTATCTGGGGGTGGACCAATGATTTTGGATTTCCCGTAATTGATTATGGCGACGGCTGTCTTGAACGGGAGGCTGGCGATGGCACCTGAAGCCTGAATTGGAAGCACAACGGCTGTTGCAGCCCACTCAATTATGATACCCGTAAATCCTCGATTGCGTTGGCCATTGTTTGCAGCCGCGGCGGCGAGTGATATTGCATCGGTAAGGCGGGACTCCAAGTTGACCAGTCGTGATTCCGTTTGAAACGCTTGAAGAGTTGCCCGCTTTTCGTATCGACGGACCGCTCTGTTCAAAGCGTCGAGGTCGGGCTGGAGTGTTTTGCGTACGTCTGTAATTAATGAAGCTGATTGCTTCCCAGTCAATTGAGCCTCCGGGTTTGCTGTTGGTTCGGATGAAGGACCTCGTGCCTCGACCTCTTCTAATCTTCGCAGAAGGCCTTTCAAATCGTAACTGCTGTTGCCATTGACTTTTGAGTAAGGGTTTGCATTGACCACTCGCTGGAGATGTAACGTTCTCGATTGGACAAGCTTGATAAGATGCGACACTGGTCGAAGCTCAGAAGCCATGAGAAAGATGGTGAGGTTGTAATTTGATACCAGTCCTTCCGATGGCCGGCTGAGCTGTGATCGTAAGAAGTGCAGCAGATATGCCCCGAGCAGAGGAAATACAAAGCATGATAGGAGGGCAAAAATCTCGTGTCTATACAGCTCTTTCGTTGCCGTTTCGCGTTTCTGGCTCGGTCGAGTTGTTCGAGGTGGAGGGGATATTGGCTCCGATGCTTCGTCTTCTGGGACCTCCTCCAATGTTTGGGAAGAGCTCAGTCCGTTCTCGTCCTCGCTGTCTTCATCATAGGTGTGCAAATCGTCTTCCTCGTTCATTCGTATCGATTGGGCAGAGTGATACCAATCCCTATGACATAAATTAACTTGGTTCGGAAGTTGAAAAGAGGATTTACTAACCATGGCAATCGGACAGACCAGTTCAGAAACACAGCGGCCAAACCCAACAGCATAATGTCCGTAACGACAGAGCTACCATTCTGAAATATCATTCCTCCAACCGCGGGCAAAAGTGCAAATGCCAATGGAGCGGAATGCCATGCAGAAGAGTCATGGCTTTGTGCTTTCCCAGAAGCATCTGGCCTGGGCAAAAGCAGGTCGTCTGTCGAAGATTGAAAGGTCCTTCGAGCCTCGCTGATGGAGTCTACCGAGAAGTTGGAGCTCCTTCGTCGATTGCTGGCCGGGGATGGCACATCTGTGGACGGGGAAAAGCGCGATCCTGGAGATGACCGTCGTGAGTTCTCGTCAAGCGTGAGTACCCTTCGCAGAGGTTGTGATCCGGCTGGAGAAGAGGTCGCCTTTCTGGACGGCGGGTCGACCGTCGTCGCCATCGACAATGCGGTGGGGAAATGTCGACGCGCTGAATTGATGTTCCAAATGCTTGGCGCGATGAAGCAGATCAGCACAGGGTTGTACGGAGTAGACGTTGAACCTAGTCGGCGGATGGAATGAGCAGAAAGCACCTCAGAAATCGCTTCTGATGGTGTAAACAATTTGTTGTCTCGTCCTTTCGTGCAACTCTGTCTAGCTTAATCCAAGTTCCCGTAAAGCTGTACTAGTCTGAAGCTATTGTCTTGTCGTCATACCAGCGCTGTTGTTAGGTTGTCATCCCTTGCAGAAAGTAGCATCGAGGAGCACATCTCCGAACTGTAGCGGATTCAGCAACTCGTTTTCCATTGATTTCCATGGAGCATTTCATGTCAAGAACTTTCGTGACATTATTGGCATCTGCAACTGTACCTAGGTATATGCCCTGCTCAGGCCAGTCAAAATTGACCGCCCAAATGTCTGATCACGTGACTATCTCTCACATCGTTTCATGAATTTGAACCCCATTCAGAGCAACATAATTCCACAAGACGTAATGGTACATCTGCGACTCTACACTCTTCCATGTTGAATGAAGTAGAGCGAAAAGGAATTCTAATACCTATGGATACTCTTCCCCTCTCACGGAGCAATAGCGCTTAAAGAATGCTCCGAGCCTCTGAATCACAGCTGTCTCTCAACCTCATAGCTTCAGCCCACATCTACATCGCCGGGCACCATTTCTGACAAGGCAAGTTGATGCGCATATTGCTTTGTTCACATGACCTAACAAAGTCTCTTGACAGGAAATTTCCAGTCTGCATTGTTTTGTAGGACAAGTAAGCTGCAAGTCAAGCAAAATACCAACCGTCACGTATCCGGATACTCTGAATGAAATGTGTGTCTCGCAATGAAAAGGAACCCACCAGGGCCCTATGGATATGTGATCCAGTCATAATACAGCAAAGACCCATCGTCCTCTCAGCCGGATATGTTTTGTTCCAGTGAATGATATACTTTCTATCCGGGAAAGCTGAGCCGGAACTTCCCAGACGATATCAATAAGCAGAAAGATGCAGGCAGCCGATCCAAGATGCGCGAAAAACTCAGGAGAGGGGGGAATTCCGGGAATTCTTTGTCGCAAGCCTTTTCTCGCCATTTCCAGTCTCGTATTTCTTGGTTTTGGTTGTCGTTCCTCCTTGCTCGATTCCACGCTAAGCCCAAAACGCGCCTCAATAGGATCTATTGAGGGAGGAACCACATCAAGACCCAATATCCCAATACCTTCATAGGCTCAATACCATGGCCATGAATATCGTCAATACCAAGTGGCCATTTATTGGGGATGAGAAACTCACAATGTCCTCAAACTTCCGCTTCAAAAAACTATCGTCTACCACAGCTACAACACCAAGTATCGCACTCGGTTTCCCTGAAATCGACCACCACATTTCATCGTCTTTATCTCTCGAAACAGCCACCACTACCAAGCTCAACCCGCTGGTCCAGGCGAGGTCTCACTTCAATCCTTATTGAACCACCGCAACCTTCTCTTTGACTTATTTAACAACAACCCCAAGCTACAGAACGACAACCAGGGGACACTCTCCGCCAGAAACCATGAACAACTCCATGGCTTTTGATACCCCTTCTGGGCCCGGTACTTTCAATGGCTCATCCAACAAAGCTGCCTTTGCCGGTGCGGATGACCAAGTCGACCGCGTCAATGCCATCTTCATGCCGATATTTTGTGCCATCGCCATGATCATCATCTATCTCCCGGCTCGAGACTTTTACGCCAAACGCAATTTCGCTTGTTGTAGCATGATTCTCAGTATCCAGTTGCTGAATCTCTACCAGTTTCTGAACGCGATTATTTGGAACACCGAGGATACGACAAACTGGTTCTCCGGGGTGGGTCTATGCGATATTCAGGTCAACAGCAGATACATGTTGACCACAGCATACATGACAAGCCTATTCTGCTTCGTTAAGAATCTCGGTGACGTCTTTTACGCAGAGGGAGTCTATCTCACGAAGGGCATGAAGCGGAAACGGCTGATTACCGATATTCTCATTGTTTGGCTTCTTCCTGTTCTACAAGTTGCCTACCACTATCCGGTTGTGGTTGGCCGATTTTCAATCTTTCCTGTGTATGGTTGCCTCGATGAATATGATGGGTCTTGGCCATACATTGTAGGCTACGTTATGTGGTTTCCAATTTTCACCTTTTTGATTCTGGTTTATAGTAGTAAGTTGGTCTTGCATATCAGAATTTCTTGCGCTGACATTTTACAGTCCGGCTCCTCATGGGACTGTCGAAATATCGCAAAACCATAGGCAATACTCTTTCAACCAGCGGATCTGGAATGACATCGAAGTACTACGTTAAACTGACGATCATTGCCCTCTCAATCGTCATCGTGTGGGTACCTGTTCAAATCTTCTACACCTACCTGAACATACCGCGCGAATTTCACTCTTATAATTACGCTGAAATTCATCGACCGGAGGATTGGAACCCAATTGTTTACCTTCCATTATCCTTGGACGGTCAAGTTCAATACAATGGTTGGGCTGCGATCGCGGTAGCTTTCTTGATATTTGTCTATTTTGGATTCAACGACGAGGCCGTCGACACCTACAGGTCATGGCTTGTCAAGCTCGGCATGGCTAAATTCTGGCCAAGTCTCAAAGAGCCCCGGTTGCCACAACATTCCAGGCGAGGTAGTAATAGTACTGGGCAAAGCTTCACGGGTCGGTTTGATCTTGTCAGCAAGGCGATGAAGTACTTCGATGGGGGTCTGAAGGGAAGTCAAGATTCAACCTCGAACAATGGGTCGGCTGCTACTAGAATCGCTCCGAAAGGTTCTCGTGGGACTATGCGTACATACTCGAGCGGTACTATGACTGACCGCACGGCTTCGACACCATCCCCTCAGATGCTATTGGTGCCTCAGATCAACTCGCCTCATCTCTACCCAACGCCAGGCCAGTTTGCTCCACCAGCTAAGCGATCCTTCTTCTCCACCTTCCGGACGCATGTCAATATCCCAATCATCCACCACAAGAATCAGGAAGCTTCACTTCGAGATGATCTGAAACCGTGCACGCGGATTTGCAAAGTATGTGGACGTGGCTGCAACTTTCAAGACATCGAAGGCCAAACTCAGCCATGGGCACCAGGTTCGGGATGTACTGGCCCGAATGGAGTTCATGCATTATCCACGAACATATGGAGCGAGGCAAATCCGAATCCAAAGCCTCCTTCTATCATCGATGAGAAATATGAAGAGGACGAAGTGAAGATGGGAACCAAAGCTTACAGACAGCGTGAAACTGCAGAGTATCAGGAAAAACAGAACGTTGAGATGAGCGGAGCTGTGGTTGTTGAGAAGACGATGGAACGTACGGAGAGTAACGTTCGCGGCGGTGGTGTTTGAGGACTGGGCTGTTGGAATTTGGCGTTGCGCAGTTGCGCACTTGAGTTTCTTTTGTGATAATCTTTCAAGTCAAGAGGTGACTTAAATTGGCATATGGATCTGGAGACTGTTTATATATAAGTACATCTATCTAATGCAAACACGCTTTCATTCACGTTCTTGGTTTGAAATTTTCGTGATTCTATCTAATCCCTTTCGAAGAAGAGCCGCCTCGGCGAAGAAAATGCTTTGTATAGTATGTCTAGAATGAAGCTTTTCATTATTCTTTTACGCTTGTACAATCATATATGAGCCTAGTTTTGAGCTGCCTTGTTGATTTCTATCCATCTCCTCTTCTTTTCGGCTGTAGAGATTGAATTTTCGACGCCCCTTATATGTGACCAAACACAATGACTGGGCCAGTCTTAGAACGCTGCTTCTGCTACACTATTTTAGTCACTATCCGAACATTCAAATTTGAGTCTTTAAATGGTCCCAAACTCGCCGTGTTCGCACTCAGAAGAAGACAATTGAAGGTGTGACACGAATTTAGATGGACAAACCGCAAAGCTACCCATCTTCTCAAACAACATGAAAGATATTTGACTCACTAGACATAGAGTCTGATGAACTCTTGTCCCATCTTGATTGTCTGCTACGAATTTACGAGAGACGGACTATATATGAGCTATGTTCGCACTCCTTCCCTTGTATGCCCTCAAACATAGTCCAGAAGCTTAACCAGAAATCTGATCTGTGCCTTAGCGTCCTCTCCGTAAATTCCACTGCATTCTGCCCTATCCCTCAACTGATCCTGGCCCCGAACCACCATATTGTTTGTAGGTGGAGTAAATTCCATGGAGAGCCTAGATGTATTCATGAGTTCAACGCTTCTCCATTTGTAAGACGAGAACAAACCGGTGCGTCAGCGGCATCCTCACTCAAGGTAGTGGCCTCAACAGGCTGACAATTGTAAGCATACTTCTTCATGAAGTTGTAGAAAACAGTTTAGCGATTACCAAGGGTTCCGGCTCACGAACAGCGAGACTTTCAAACTGTGGTTTTACTGTTAGTAATTTCTTTTTTTGTTTTTAAGAACCTATTTCGACTTACCGATGAGAGTGGGAGGGCGTAGAGTGGGACGATGGCACTCAAGATTGCACAGATAAGTATGACCTTCATGATGGCGGTGGTTTGCTGATTTGTTTTGAGTTGAAAGAATCCGAATGGTTTGAAAACGAGGATGATGAATGAGGACAGCTAGTGGAGAGATGGCCATACTTATATACTTTCCATCTCGTACCACATAAGGTGTTCCTCGGTCTGAGAGTTTGATCTACGGTACTATTTCGTAAGGAGACAAATTTTTCGAACGGTTCAGCTAGCATTGTACAATATGTACCTATCACCAAATCCTTGTGCGAAATTCTGCCCAAATGTTTGATCCGAGCCAGAGTGATTCAAAAAGATGACCACCATCCAGAGATAGCTCACCGTCATCTCGTAAAGGCTGTCATCACTTGTCCTTCCTCGTCTCGTAGCCATATGCACTGTGAGCATATCCTTGCAATCAGACACTCCAGCTCCGTTTGGGTGACTGTCATCACTTATCCTACCAATAGGAAACGTTCGAAAACACAACAACAACCAACAGAATAACGCTAGAATTTCTCTACCATTGATAACAAAGAGGGAAGTCTCGGCCAATGGAAAATGACCGGGTATTCATGGGAGATCGATTTGGCATCGCGCCTGTTGGAAATCACAGGATTCCTAGTCAGGTCAACTCAGTGGCTCACACGACCGCGAGCAGTACTCTGAACCCTTTTTTCAAATTGCAAGATGGCGATGAAGCTATTCGCGCGACAATTTAGAATCGAGCACTTCAGCTATTCCACTTCGGAGCATGATCAGTCGGAACAGAACGAACAATTTATTCGCAAAGAGTCACGGCAAAATCCAAATAGGAGTCACCATCTGCTCTATTTTATTTCAAGTATCTGCTTGGCCTCGTCTATTTTAAATCTATATCTTTTAATCACTCGCCATCCGAACCAAGACCTCAACAGACTTTGTAGTTATTTCACTGCCCAATATCGTACGTCGCATAGAAGCCAATTGCTATCCTGTTCATCCGCTGATAGTATGTCCAAGTCTCTCCAATCGAACAAGACGTGCCAATTGTGTTCGAAACTGTGTTATTTAATGGATCTTTCATGAAAGAAAACGTCTTCCGTGGGGCGGCAGGACCTGAGGTTGACGACGCCTGGAAATCTCTGGGTACAGACTGTAAGCGCTTTTTACCGCTGTTGAATTAAATACTCAAAATTGTGAGCCAGATCTCCCTATAATTCTGCCTGAGAACGAAGCAGAAGAATACGGTCTGCGTCTTGGGCAAGTCAAGAGACGGCAGGATCAAGGTGGTGGATTCTTTGCAAATGTTGAAGTGCTGCATCATTTGCACTGCCTTGTGAGAACAGATAAGGTCAATAATTTTGGATTTTGGCTAATTCGGGTGAGAATCTACTTCGAAAAGCGTCACACTTCAGTTATGAATATTATCATTCCCAAGGAGAAGGTCCATTCGCAAACGACGATGAGGTTATTTGGCTACACTTTGGTATGCCGTCACTACTGGCATATGTCCAATACAGAATTTCTTCGCTGACGATTCACCCTAGGGCATTGCTTGGATATTCTTCGGCAACAGCTTATGTGTAGCGCAGGCGTTGGAGTCTTTGGGCAATATTGGATTGCTGATCCTCCGGGCCCATTCGTTGACTTCAACACCAAGCACAAATGCAAAAACTTCGGCGCGATTCGTGAATGGGCAGAGAAGAACCAGGTGACGGAAGAAGATAATAGTCGTGTAGAATTTCGCCCCGGAGATATCGTTTTGCCTGAAATCCCATGAAGACTTGGACTTCGAAGTTGTTTTACCATGCTACGAGGCATCATGTTTATATCATACAATATTTCAATCATATTTCAACCTTTCATAACGATGGGTTCTTTCAGGAGTTGAAATTATGTGTGAAGCATGCAAGTTTGATGACTACAATGGTTATCAATGTGAGAAATACGCTCGTTAAGTAATACGATTATCATTATTGTCTACACACTGTACAATGTGATTCTTACGTACTGCTACATATCTATTACATTTATGTTTCATGACTGAGTGGTACTGAGTGGTACGCATGTTAAGTAAATAAACATCATATTTGAGATCATGGTCTTGCTACTCGATGTTCATTTGTCCATACTAGCTTGAAAGTTCTCCGCCTTCTAGCAGATACTAATTATTAATTATTTGAAAAATAGATTGGGAAGAGTAGAGAGTAAAGAATTGTGTCTCTTTTAACTCAGCAGCTTCTTATTTACTAACGGATGTAATGTCCAATAAATTACAATGACCAAGTTTGAAATACACTGGGATGATAGCTCCCAGAGGGATTCCCTGACCTGCTATAATTTTGTTGCAATGAGTAGTGTGTCCCGTGTCCGCCACTCGGAAATGGATATATACACCAGTCTCACCATCAAGCAAGCGATTCATTGCAATGACACCTAGCCGCCAGATATACAAACAATGTGCAATGTGATAGCCAGAAGTTGAATATGCCATCTGCTCATCGCGTAGTCCCAACAAAGCAGGTGGAATGGAGATAGTATGATTCTGATCTTCAAACCAGGGAAATTCTCCATCGATCCCCAGTGCAACGGACTCAGAGTAACTTGATAACGCTTCTTTCGCAGCGAGAGGGTCATAACAGTTTAATGGTAGCCAAGCAGCAGCCATTGGGTCAAAGATACAGCCACGAGACTTTGCATCAGACACTGTGGAACCACAGTCAAATATGAATTGGTCGTTGGAGGCTGACCATGAATCTTTTGGAAAGAGTCTTGATTTGAAAGTCAGGCGTAGTATTTGCGAGAACGCGGTCAAGTTGAAGCCCAGTATTAAGAGTATACACAGGGCGATGCTACAAATTAAGCTCAAGATGTACCATCGAGATTTAAATAATGCCTTTCGTGAGTCAGAAAGCGGAAGTCTCCTGAGCCAGTCGGCCATGTTTGTATGTCGCCTTTTTGGACCGATGTTTAGTGGTAACCTGTAGTGAAAATCAGCAATTAACCACACTCAAGCTTAATGCAAGATATTTTACCTTGTTGACGACATGAGATGCTGGCATAAATCTTGGTCTATTCCTTTTGTTTACAATGTTCCTAACAGAACATGTTCACGGAGGACTATAAAAATCTTAGCATCCCAAAGTAGAGACAAAAAGCTTAATTCTACTTAAGATGACAGAAGTGGACAAAACTAGTTTCAGGTGCACGTGGCAGTATCAAGCTTGAATCTTCTTTTTTTACCAGCAAAATACTGACAGATCTGCTTTTACTGACAACGTACTGTCATCATGAAGCTTACACTCTTACGTCAAATTTCTGATTCTGCAGACGATGACATTGCATTGAACAATGACACTGAAACAAGGAAAGCTGACATCTCCAACACCGACATTTCAGATGATCCATGTCGCAATTGTAAACTAAGGCCATGAATAATATCTCAGACTGTTCTAGAATTCCCGAACATCTCTTCCCGCGAAAAGAGACCTCCGCTGCGGTACTCATTCTACAACCTTTTCTCACTGGAAGTTTTCTTCTTCTAATTCTGGTGTAACGCTGTTCCTAATCATGTGCCCTTTCTTATAGTTGAAATAAGTCCCGTATCGACCTTACATATGTTATTGAATGTAAAAAAAATTGATTTTCGGAGGGAAGAGATGTTTTACCGACACACCACTTTGGTGGATTGTGTGTAATATCACACTTTAACTCAAAAAGCTCCACATTTTCCCTCCATGTAGACAGCGTAAAAGCAGCTGGAATAAGCAAGGGGAAAACTAGAACTATGCCAAGCTGAGTACACTTCATTTTTTTTCGTTCCAAATTGCGATTTGAAACAGCAGAAAAGGCGAATACTAGACGTGGCAAGCTGCTTGGTATTGACTGTTGTTGTGTCGAAATCTTTGTTAAGATGTTCAAGATATGTGTACACTCGGCTCTCTTTGATACCAGCTACTGGATCGAATATCTGGGTTATAAACTCCTGAAAGTTCTTGAAATGCTGATGTTGATGCTGAAGAACAATCCAGTAATTGGGCCGGTTAATGTCAACACCAACAAAGTACCAACACTAGGTACATCGAGGTCTGATAGCGAAAGACAGATAAGGAAGGAGCCACGAGCACATACGTCAGCGATGCTGGAAGCATGATTCTCTGACGCCACCGGCGGGGGTTTATTTGATAAGATACGAAGATGTATGCTGCCTAAAGCTGACCAATTACTTGATTATTTGAGATCTGAGAATTAAGATACTGGTAGAAAACTCGTAAACATACTCTTTAACATTTTCCATCCTTTTCAAGCTCGCCATAAAATGACCGCATCAAAAAAGACCCCGGGACTTAATACCGATATTGCAGTTTCCCTATGGGAGTCGGCAACTCCTGGTTTACGTGTGGCCGTAAGATCAACAGCCTCTCCCGCCGAGGTCAAACAGATCCGCGAAAACCCAAGCACCCTCGAAACTCTGAGGATTTTAGAAAATCTAATTGTCCATTTCCAAAAACGACGAACCACCCAGCGGCAGAACAAGTACATCTGTACACGATCAAGACGAAACAAAGTTCTTTTCACGATCGCCCTGAGCACCCAGACACCTTTGAGAATATGTTTGAGTTGGCTCGGGAACAGATCATATTAGGGAAGCATGCACAAGCAAAGAATAATTGGCGTACGGTATTGGAATTCCATGAAAAGGTCGAAGGTCGAAGGAACCTCGCTGTTGTGTACAATTTGGCTCGCGTCTTAAACTCGAACGAATGGTTTACGGATGCTGAAGAGATCCTTAAGAGCCTTCTACCAGAGTTGATAGAAGCACTCGGCACAGGTAGCCGGCAGGTTATCGGAACTTTACCGGAGCTGTCACTTGCCATAGGAAAACAAGGAAGATATGCAGAGGCTAGAGAGATAATTGCTGAAGGCGTTAGAAATCTACGAGACTCCTCAATGGATAACGAAAGTCAAGTCACGCATAAGAATGACCTGGAAAGGGTCGAGGCTGAACTTCGCATCTCGGAGCAGGGCAGAAATATTTCGCTTTAGATTTCTCATTCCCTATCAAAGCTATGCATCTCAGGGACTGGAACGGGTCCGAAAAACTAATAAAACCAACTTCCCAGACAACGAGGGCTTTGATGACCATGCATAACCCAGGATTAATTCGCTGTAGACAACAGTGCAAAGTGGACACTTGAAATTCTTGCACTAGAAAGCCATGACAATCACTAGTTGACCTGGAATGTGATCGAACCCTTTGTGAATACAAAATCAGTAAATAGGTCAAGATTAACTCGAGAGACGGACTCAGGTCCGCTTCCGGATTATTCCAGCATTGCATTTGCTTGTTAGTCATCGAAGAGAGAGAAATGGTATGGAGATATCTTGGGAACGCTCCGGTGATTTTGAAAAGCTCAAATTCAGGCGCTATTGTTTGGTCTTACCCTCCATTCTCTTCCTACTATTCGAAATTTGGACATCAAATTCAGCAATACACTCGCTATCGCTTCAGCCGACAGAAAACACAATGCATATAGCGAGTGTTCTCATGGTTTCCTGCCGTTAGCGCCATTACATAAGAGTGGTATATTTTCGACGAAGTCAAACTTTTGATCAATTCCAGTTTATCATGGGGAACCGACAGCCGAATTTGAGCGTGCCTCAATCCTCCCTTGTAAGTTCACAATCGGTCTTTGTTATGAATGTATGGGGTTTAACTCAATTACATGAAACATTGTATTGATACCAAGAACTCAATTTGGCGCGCTCAACCAGAGAGACGATTATTCTTAGGGTTTCTCCATCCTCGACCAGGATAATTTGCTGGCAGTTCTTGAGGTACTTGTACAGCCGAGCTGCTTCAATATCCTCAGACATGTGTCATGCCATAACCAATATGATTGCAATTACTTACTCGGTTTTTAGAGTGGCGAGGAACACATGTTGAGACGCGCCCTTGATTAGCAAGGTGATGCAAATCTCTGTCTAGGTCGATGAACCCAAAGAAGTAACATTGATGGAGACAGAATATGAAAACCACAATAATACCCCTTGACAAAGAGTTCAAGTTTCTCCTTGGATCAAAACGTGCAATACTTTCTTGCAACTGAGAAAAACAGACTCGTCCAATCAACTTTATGAGAAAGGACCTTTAGCTTCAACTTTGGCGTTCAAATCCACTCCTTTCCGTATCAGAAGCCTAATAATATCTTCAAAACCGTTGATACCCGCTAAATGTTGTGCTGTCCAGCCTTCATTGTCTCTCGCGGTTGTACTTGCGCCTTTATCAAGCAGCATAGCTACGACATCTCGACATCCACTTCTCACAGCATTAAGTAAAGCCGTCGATCCAGATCCGTCGACTGCATCGATTTCTGCTCCAAATTCCAACAGGCACTTCACAATCGCACCGTGACCCTCTTCGGCTGCCAAATGCAATGTGGTTTTACCTACTGGACTGGGTTGGCATTTTGAATTATACTTTGTTTCTATCGGCGCGACCTTTAAGTTGTTCGTTGGTATATCCTGCTCCTGTTGTGCCTGTAACATTTCTGGGCTCGATAGAGATATAAGGCTCTATTTGAACAAAATGTGTTAGCTCAATGACCCTGTATTTTTCAAAGTCTAGCCTTTACTGTACCTCGTGGATCTTCGATTGTGGTTCAATATGCTCTTTGATAGAATACGGCTCGGCGGTGGGCGGGCTTATCATGGTTTCGCACGAGCTCGTCTTTGAGTTATAGGAAATGGAATGGTTTTCTGAAGGTATTATCCAAATAGAAGGCTGCCGATGTGGGTCATCAACCACCAAACTGCGATCTTGCCATGAATTGCTGATATTCGGATAGGGATGTAGTGGCATACACGCAGCTTCCGTGCCCTGACCCGCAAATGGATATGTTGGTAGTGGCGACAGCGCTTCACCGTTCCATATACTGACGTCGTATTCATTTATGATATTCGATTCAGAGGGTTCATACAAACCTATGAAAGTCTGTTGGGGTTGTGCGTCGCTAAGATATGAATCATGGTCGATGGGTGGTGTCTGTAATTTGTAGTTTTGCATGGGCAAACTCTTTTCTTGGCTGGACGGAATGTCACTCTTCTTTAGGGCTGAAGTTGTTGCATTATTTGTGATCGGATCCGAGCCGTGTTGCGTTTGCTGCTGGGTTGATTCCAGGAGTCTGGTTCGGCTCAACCCTAAATTAACGAGTTAGTGTCATTCAGAATGTTAACCTTGGTCGGGTCTCCACAAACGCAATTTTCTTTGAGCAAGGCGATTTTGTGCCCTTTGACGTTCTCGCATCTGCGAGTCTCGTCGATTCACCTCCTCAGCGTTACTGTCTCTATCCCTATGCATTTCGATAGAGCACAGTGCAGCATATAGTCGCAACTCATACCATCACAATTAAATATAGATTTTGGTACATCTGCAATTGTACTTTTAAAACCATACTTTGGCCGCAATTTGATCACATGTGGCTGCGGCTTTGTGAAAAAGCTTCTACATAGAAGGTCGATATTGACTTCGAATGCTCTTACCAAAGACCGACCGTACGGCAATCTCGATGGAATGTGCAAATCCGAACAAACAAAGATGGACTACGAAAACCAAGTTGAGTGATTGCACCGGCTGGGAGAAAGAGAACGATGAGTCCATGATTAGGGAGTGTTGGAATTCCGAACACCAGATCGCTCAGAATAGGGGGTTTACGTAGTTACTTTCCCCAATTAGCTGTACAAAAGTGGTGCGATCTCGTATATCTTGTTGGAAGGTGTTGGTTGGACTTCGTTTTCTCAACATCTGTTGGTGAGACTGCTGAGGAAAGGCAAGGACAAGCTTTGTGGATTCAAGCTTCGCGAAAAACAAGCACTTGACTGCAACATAAGCTTTACTGAAGATTTATGGGGTGCACACATCCATTGAGACTTGTTCTAGGTTGAATGTCAAGAGACACATTTTTTTAAGTCTCAAAAACCGGGGCCCAAGTAAAATACTACTCACAACACTTTTACCAACGGTTCGATATTTTGAGAGAAGCCTTTAATGGTCACGAGGCCAATGGTAAGCTGACCGTACCCCCGCCCGAAGCTGGCCGTGTTGGGGATAGCTACTCGGAGGTAACTTACACCCTTGCTAGCTTTTGTAAGCCCATCCTCCTCACCACTGCTCCGTCTAGCTTACAAGCAGAGTGACAATCAAAATCGAGCTCTCCATCTTCCGCAGGTTCTCGACCGGCAGAATGCCAGCAAAACATGCTAGTTTTGTGTGAACTATTGGGAATTTCCAAGAACCCTCGAAGGTTCTTAGAAATAGTTGCTACGCTAAAGAAACATTTTCTTCATCGCCATCAAATCAACTATTTATAATGATTTCGGTTATTTCTGTTTGTGTGCCAGTAAGCGCCTTAATGCACAAGTCTACACTTATGATTTTCTGCATTTTGCCGAATTAAAGTAGAATTACGAAAACTATGTGTAGCGAGAGGATAACAAGTAGATATTTAGATATTATCAGAATTCCAGGTCTTAAAACATGCACGAGGGGCTTCGTTTCACTGAGCTTAAGAGATCTTTTAGATTTAAGCAGTTTTAAACCTCAGAACTATCCAAACAATTGCCGTACAGTATAAGCTCTCGGAATTAATAAAGTAGTAGCGCTCATGTCAGTGAACAATATATATAATATATGTAGCCAACGCCTCTACCAAACTGAAATTAGGCTGTAGCAATATAGACAAGCGCGGAACGCGATTTTACTTTGCATTACTGTACTAATAGTCGAACTTTTGTTATCTTCAACGTGATTATGAACTACATAAGTGAATTATGACGTCTTAATAGTTGTCATGATGCTCTGATATCTTATGCTTAGACTTTTTTATTTACGCCGAATATGCTGTTTCTATACCACTGAACGATGAACAACACACTATGCTAGACAATACCTCCTAACGCCCACTCACCTACGATAAAATACATCGCCTGGTAAGGACGATATCTGACAAGTAAGCATTGCATTTGAAGAAGTTCTCCTGAGATTGAACTATGTACAACAGCCCCTCGGTCTTCATACAACCTCTAGGCTGCTCCTCCATCATCACATGACTGAATATTAACCTCACCCCACCACCAAATATCATGATTAACGCCTCCGTGAAGTTGAGTTCACAGGAGCAAGATTCTCGACAAAGAAGCTAGTAAGCTTATCAAAAGGAATCAGCTCAGTGCGATCGTAGAGGTCAACATGTCCTGCCCCAGGAATCTAGAATAGCTCCTTTGGCCAAGCAGCGCGAGAATACGCGTCCTCGGAGAACTCGCGTGAATGTGCCTGATCACCCGAGATGAAAAGTATAGGACGCGGTGCAATGGTGTCAATGTCGTTGAAGGGATAGAAGTTAAGGAACTTGGGCTGGCTTGCGACAGTTGGGTGGGTAGTCATGTTTGGCGTGGTTGTTGGAGGAGTGAACTCTCCACGAGAAGTTCGATAGTAGTCATAGAACTCGCGTCCAATGGCATCAGTCTCTGGGGTCAGGACGTCGGGAGTACCACCGGTGATAGCAATATTGGCACCGTCAACCTCAGCCCAGCGCTGTTGTGAAGCAGTGTCGACCATATCGTGACGCTCCGAGAGGGACAAAGCACGCTGTATACCATTGCGAGTGACCGCTCCCATGTCGTACATGCTAGATGTAGCCACCGCTCTGATGCGGGAATCGATTTTAGCCGCGCTGATCACGAAAGAACCACTTCCACAGATACCGATTGCACCTATTCTCTGTCGATCGACAAACTCCTGTGTTCCTAGGAAGTCGACAGCCGCGCTGATTGCTTCAGCGTACGACTCTGGAGCGACAGTATTCATAGGTCGTCCTCCGCTCGAACCCCAGAAGGGCATATCCAGCGAGATGGCTACGAAACCTTGCTCAGCCATCTTGGTGGCATAGAGGTTGGCACTCTGTTCCTTCACCGCGCCCATAGGATGCCCAACGACGAGAGCAGGCGCACTCGTGGTGCTATTGGTACTGCCGGTACCGTTGCCATATCGGTCAACACTGTTGGGAATGAAAATATTGCCAGCAATGGGTGACTGGAACTGATCAAGGAAGGTAATTGGCTGAACTGTCACCTGGTTACTGGTATACCAATTATCGGCTCCGTATGACAGGTTTTGTGCCATTGCCGTCGACAAACCGTTCAGTAGCGCGATGCTCAGTGAGTTGATGGTACCGCCCGGCTTCATGGTTGTTGAGCTTATGGATTGACAGGGTTGACAGTTGAATTGCTATGTAATTGAATACAAGCAGTTTCCTAGAGATGAAGTGATGGTGTAGAGATCGCGGTAGAGATCTAGCAGTCCTTTCGTATGCTAACTTGCTACTCTTTATATTCCACGACCACTTGGCCGACAGATATTGCACTGCCATCATCGACGTCACAACTGCCGACGGACAATATGATTGACTCGAACAAGGAAGCTGGGCAAGAGGAAATTCCCCCCTTGATGGCTCTAGCCGCGTGTTTTCCAAGTCTTGGAAGCCCAGGGAATGAGGAAAATAATGGATAGGGGAGTCTTGGGACTCTTATATTGGAGTGGAGCTGACAATCGAACTGAGGAAACAGTTGTGCTTAACCCCGAATCTACTGCTCGACTCCGCCAAATGGTAAAAGGTTGCATCCTCGGTGATATGAGGTAGAAAGTATATCCTTACACTAGCAATTTCGTTCTTATGCCAAGCATTTAAGCGGGGTAGGAGAGCACGTGAATGGGGGGCTAAAATGATTCCCGAGTCTGTTAGGCCCGAGACCCACAGTAAGCAAGCTGCATGAGAATGACGCACGGGCAGTACTCGAGTACCTACTGTGAGCGAAATGCAAGCAGACGAAATATCGGTGACACTTTCGGAAGGCAACAAAGGCCTAACGGGAAGTACTTGGTGATCCAGCTCGAGAGAGAAGAGTACGTATACACTAGACGGAGATTCTAGGCCACTTCGTGCGGACCTTCCCATGTGACGTACCTGGCGGCCAAGATGGTACACTTAATGATGCTTCTTGAAGTCGTTTTATAACGCTCTTTAATTCAACATGTCTTAGCACGGACAACTTTTGTCACAAGATATTGATGGGGTGAATCGAACGCTTATTGTACCAGAATCGAGTTTTCGTCTAGACGACTACTGAGAATCATTTGTTCCGGCGTTTCTGACCATGCCACAAAGTACAAAAATATGCGGTTTGCTCAAGCCACAACTTAAGTCCGATTTAGCATTCTTGGATACGATTTCAACAACCGATCTCCAGCCATAAGCACGCTATGTGACAAATGGTAAGCAATTTATTTGCCTCGCAGGCGGAAGGAACTAGGGAAGGGTATATTATCGACGTAGCCAGGAAAAGTTCAAATATAACTTCCCTTTCCTCCTTCTGCACTTGAACGAAGCTGGACATGCTACCTTCTCTGCACCTTTAGCTCTTTAATTCTCCCTTTCAACTCTCCTTGTCAGCATTAAATACTCTTAATCACCAGTTATGGAAGGTTACACGACGTCTGCCCCGGTAGACTGCACCAAAGAACTTGATACAGGCAGCTTGAAGGGAAAAACAGTCATTGTGACTGGAGGTGAGCATGGTTGTTTGTTCTTGAAGGACACCCATTAACGACAATAGGTGCGAATGGAATCGGAGAAGCATACGTAAGAGCGCTTTCCGCCGAAGGGTATGCGTCTAATCCTCAAATATTGCTCTATTTCCTGACGCCTTCAAAAACAGAGTCAATGTGTGCATCGGAGACTTCGACGAAAATCGGGGTGAGAAGATTGCGTCGGAATTGAAGAAGTAAGTAATGAGCTCTCCGTAAATTGAATGTTATGCTAAGCTAAAAATTGTAAAGTGCAAAGTTTGTAAAATGTGACGTCTCAAACTGGCAAGATCAGGCTCGCATGTTCGCTGAAGCTGCATCTTTCACCGGTAAGGTCGACTTTGTCGTAGCCAACGCGGGTATCTGCCCTGAAGATGAGATTTTTGCCTTCGAAGGTTTGTAGATCTTTGCATCAGACCGTGTTTGTTAACTGACGGATTTGGGAGGGAAAGATCAGGAACCCAAAGAACCAAATTTGAAAGCTGTTGATGTCAATCTCAAAGGAGCACTCTATAGTACCAAACTTGCACTCCACTACTTCATCAAGCAAAACGGAGAGAAACAATCGCCGCGCCAGGAAGACACATGTCTGGTATTGATTGGCTCTGGTGCCGCATTCCTTGATGTTCCTCGAGGACCTGTATATCCAGCAACAAAGTTTGGCGTGAGAGGTATCATGCATTCTCTTCGGAGAACAGCACATTATCACGGCAGTCGGATTAATGTTATCTCCCCATGGTAAGTAAATCCCCAACCTGAAATATCTAATGCTCTTACTAATGAATCAATAGGTATGTCAGGACAGCGATACTGCCAGAAGAAGCTTTCGAGCACGTCAAATCGGTTGGCGTAGAATTTGCAACAACAGAGGATGCAAGAACTACCCTCTTGCGGATTTTGTCTGACAAATCAATCAATGGCAAATCTCTGTTCCTCTCACCAAGAAAATGGGCACCAAAAGGATATCTGGACCTGGATATTGACGATTTTCCTGGGAATGACCTGCTTCAGGAGATCCAAACAGATCAAATGAAACCAGCTCCCCCGGAGAAGGGCTTGTTCTTGTCATAAGTTCGACATGCTTTTAAAGTAGATCTGGCGAAACTGGGTTTGCTGACCATGGCAATGCAGTAGCAGCTTAGCGGTTTTACTGGGAAATAGGAATCAATGAAAACAATACTTCTTTTAAAAGACATTTCAAATTCGGTGCTAGACTTCCAGTCTTTTTGAAAGAATCAGTGGTCTCTCTTTGCCTCGGCGTCATATTGCCACAATCATTTTGATGTCAATGTTTCTCGTTACACATACACATCCAATTTCATTCAACAATTCATTCCTCTGATCGCTAGCATATTGCCGAAGATCGTGTATGTTCCAGAGAATCACTGCTTCACAATACTAATTCTTGACAATCCAGACTAACAGCCTCAGCCCAATCTGTTCATTACTAATTCGAACCTTTAAAAGCAGAAAGTTTATTCACTTATATCACGCGGTTCTAGAGCCTCTAATTCAGGTCGATGTACTAAGTCAGAGGTGAAACTTCTTGATCAGCTTTTCACCCCCACCTTGGCTATCAGGTAAGCTGCGCTTGTGAGTATGTCTCCCTGGTAACACAGGAGCTACACTTGGACCGAGAACTCTTAGTGCTTCCACTTCTAAAACCTTGAAGTTCTTGTCTATTGCTCTTTTCACTGCCAGGCTTACTCATCACAAAAGTTCCCGTCGCTTGATGCCTGGTAGTCCCATGGTTCATCCAGTAATCCCAACACTCTATGTCACTGGCACCATCCAAAGGCAATCCGCTCAGGTTTTTCAGCTCGACAAACGACAGCAGGGGCAGAAACGTGTTTGAGTGCGGCTTTTAGTGCGTTTATGGCGACAACCCTATCGTAAGGGGGTATAAATATCCAAGATCTCAACGGCTGATTGAACGACGAATTCGAAGAAATAATGACTGAACCGGCAGACTGCGGGGTTTATGAAGACGAAGATTTTGCCTTGTAAGGTCTGAACTCACTATCAGACGATCGGATTATTGTAACTTAGGCTAAATTCCACCGCAAGTACTGACGCGACTTCTATTTGCCGAGACGGCGGGGACTTCTAGTTGGCTTGAAACTTAGCTATCTAGGCCACAGTAGAGCTAGAGAACTTCCAAAATTGCACTTACAGAGCAATGCGACATTGGAAAATTGAATCGTTGAAATTGTGATTTGTTTACAACCAGCCGAACTTTCTTTGAACTTATGTCTTACTCTTCCTCCACTCGCGGATCTTCTGGGTGAACGACCGTCCTTGCTTTACTTTGGGATTTTCGTCATTAATTTTGCCACAAGTTTCATTCTGACGAGAGATTGTGGCATGAGTCAAGCCAATCTCAGTTGCGGTTGGAGTCGGTGGGGTAAGCGGCGTAGCTGGGGGTGAAAGAGGGGAGTTTAGTGGTGTCTCGAGCGAAACTTGCGGCGCAACACTGTTATCAACTTGAATTGATATCATCAGTCGTTCCGTTCTTTCTGGAGCCAGCTTGTGCCATAGACTGCGGATATTTCTGCACCAGCGATATTGCTCAGCAACGGTGAATACAACTCCCACAAAACTGGCGCCGTGAGCAACAAGCTCCTCTTGAATTTCAAGGAACATCATTAGATCTTCGTTAGGAAACACGCTTGCTGTAGCCGATAGCAAGAAATTTTGCCAAACCGTGAAGCTCCCAACCAGTTGGTTTGGATCTGCACCGGCTTTGAGGAGTAGAGTTGCTATGTCTCGCCTTGTCGGTAATGGTACTGATATGGCGCAGGAATGGATGCTAAGGGCGATATCCAGTAGGGGACGTCCGTTCTTCTTTAGTAGGGCTTCCTTCCTTCTATCTAGCTGATTTTCAACGTAACTTAATAGACCATACTGCACGGCGGCAGATGTGAACGAATCTGGCCATTGCCTTGGATGTTCGATGTCTACTAACCCAGACCAATGGGGTGGGTCACTATTTAGGAAGCCCTTTCCATGGTACTCTGCATTCAGTGTATTATTTAATGTATTTAAGAGCAGTTCGCAAGAGTCGTTTGGATCTTCCACGTCGCTGCACACCTCTTGAGCAGCCTTTAGTACCTGTTTAGCTGTGGCAAATAAGCTAGGACCTAAGTATCTCGTGGAAACAAGCCTGTGGTGCAGAAGAATAGATTTCAGCACGGAGTATTGAGGCCTGAAATTTGATTGAGCTGTGGCAGCAAGTACGAATGACCAAGTACGAGGAATCATAAAGAAGTCTCTGACAGTGCGGTGCATGTACTGCACTGTTCCCATACTACCAGATTCTTTGTGTACACCTCGGATCTCAAGGAGACCTGCACATCTGCTTTTCAATCTGTCGCCCATGATTTCACATTTCCGAAATTTCAATTTCGTTCAAGTTGTCTTCTCGTGTATACATAGTCCTGTGGAGGTTCTCGTCTAACGCCAGTGCCAGCGACAGTGTTGTGTGAGGCTTGTCAACCGCATAGACTAATTGAAATATTTGGGATGACTGGTTTTCATAGATAGACTCAATTCGGAATTTGAGCATATGTTCGTAGAGATGTTCCAGATCTGAAGGCAACACACGTAGCCGTTGTTGTAAGATTGACACATCATCCCGATTTCGGAGTCCAGTAAGAAGGGAGTTAACTACGAGCTTCACCCATAAAAATACCCCATCCGCTTTCGTGACGATTTCCTGAATCAAAATGGGGGCTCTTTCTGGCTCTTCAAGTGAAAGCTTCTGGAATTTGCTGTTCTTCTGAAGCTTCTCGGTTGTATAGAGTTCGATGTCTTGGAAGGTGAGGTCTTGTAGACGAAGGCTTGGAAATCCTCCAAACGCTTCTTCGTAAACCAACAACGGCCTGCTGGATATACAAGCCTTGACACTAGGCGATAAAGTAATCAACTCGAAGAAATCTACTATATCTTTGTAGTTGCCGTCATACTCATCCAGCCCATCCACAAATAGACAGAATTTCACTGGAATAGTTGTTTGTTTGACAAGACGCATGAATGCCTGCTTAATTTTGGACAGAGTCGGGGCAAATTCATCGATTACTTTCGAGACACCAAGTATTTGAGTATGAATGTCATCCTAGTCATCGGGGAAAACAACTGGTATCAATTTCCGATGCTGTCGTAGGATTTCGTGGAGCAATCCGCGTAGAAGACTAAATTGAGACTTTTGTATCGCGGTTCTAGAAAGCTAGAAGAAGAATCCTGCAGTAGCTAAAGATACCCCATTGGACCAAGCACAGAGCTCCTTGTGGGTCTGCCCGTGGTCATATATGTATCTCATCAACGTAGACTTTCCAGATGCTGCCTTGCCATTTATCCAGTAGATTCCTTGGCCACTACGGAGCCAGTCCACGAAATTACTCCACTTCTTTGTTTCACTTGCCCTGATATTCTGTTTTCCATTATTTAATGGCCGGCGTTCGAAGATCCACTCGAACGTCTGGAGATGAGCTTCCCCAACATCGTCGTATCGATCAGTAATCGTGGAGAAAGTCAGTCCTTTCAGAATCGACATCTCACAAGCCAGGGTCATGTCCCGTTCCGCTACTTTAAGAGCCGGAATGATGCCAGGGAACTTTTGAATGCTCTGGCGACGTCCAGATGGAGTTCCCATGTCATGTATGGCTTGAATAATTGACTCTCGAGTTTCTTTGTGATGATGCTCGTTGATTTCTTCGCTCTTACTTAAGACCTGCGTAATTACAACAGTATGATCTTGTAACTGCCTGGAAGCCTCGGTTTGGTGCTCCTCCAAGGTGGTTGCAATTCGGGCAATTTCCTGAAGCCCCTGGCTAAAATCGTCGAAATGTGTTTCAAGATTCTGCACTGTGTAGGTAGAATATTAATGACGGCTAGTGTTTATGTGAATCCGACAACCTACCTCAAAGTAGTAAGAACATTTAGCTCCAAAGCTCCACGGAGCGCCGATAGGTCTTCCTGACAGCTCCTCTAGTTCCTTTTCTGACCAAGCATGTCTGATTGCTTTCCTGAAGCTACTCCATTTACTTCCATCATTACTTGTCTTAAGCTTGTCTAGCTTCTTAAATAGTTCCATTGCTACATCGTTGCAACTTTTGCAGATATCCGCGAGTGCCTGCTCGTCTTGAGTATAACAAATAGACACAATTTCGTCGCTAAGACCAGGGCGTAATTTCTCCGATAGATCAAGAATTTGTGACGCGACTTGGGCTAGTTCGTTGTCAACTGCAAGGGAATTACTTGCAGACGTGTAGATCTCGTATGTTTTCGATGTGATCTTACCGCCGAAGTCGATCAGCTGACAGACCGCCGCCACGAGAGATACAGCAGCAATTGGATCCATTGCTTGGTCAATATGGTACCCAAGTCAGCTTGATTGGGAACAGTTCATCGTTGGTAGCACTGCAACTTTCCCGGCTGAGAGTAACCACTGCCGCGTCACGTCACGTTACTTGACTGTCAGCCGCTTTGATGAGCGGGTTCCCAGATTGGTTCGTGGACGCGCAGTTCTGTACCGCGCTGTACGACATTATCTACCAATAAAACCTTTGAAGCATTATAAACGCTCAAGGTAGCCGTCGCACACACTCTATTCAATTAAACTAGAAACAAGAATCGACTTACTATTTACTACGGTAGAGTAAAGGTAGTCTATTAACTACTGTATTAATTAATAGATAATGTTATAAATATAGTCTCTCTAGATTAATAAGGAAAGAAATATATAAGAAATCGCTTATAGTATAAAGTATAGATAGAATATAATTAGACTCTAGATTAAACGAAGGAGGCTTTCTAAGGTGTCTCGTTAAAAGTTAATAATTATAGAGAGTATACCTAAGAATACTCTAAGTAGACTCTAGGAAGACCCGAGCCAAGCCTTAGCAAGTTAGGGTAGAGTGGATAAACACCTAAGATACTAGAGGATAGTAGAAGATTACTAAAGTTACTAACTAGAAAGTTGATTTTATAACGGCGGAGAATTTATTACCCCGCCCCGTAAGCGTAAGTGGGTTTCTAAACCCCATTCTTCGCATTCGCTAACCCCTCCAGTGCGAACTCAACGTGCTTTGCCGCTTTGCTAGGCTCGAATTTATATTCACTAGTGTGTTTAGATTATTCCTCGCAAATAATCGCGTGATAAAACTACTACCATCATCCATTAAGACTTTCTCGAGCTTAATGCAAAGGTTCAGAGTTGCTCAACCATACTAAGTTTCCGCTTAATCTGATACTTATTAGATTTTCTGAACTTCTACTTACAAGTCAGTCAGTCAAAGATCTAAATATGAACGCTACTCGGCTGACTGTTTCCAATAGCAAAACCCTCGTTTCTGCGCCAAACAACAAAAAGGCTTTTCATCATCAAATATGGTCCATCTTCACAGCATGGAGAAATCCAACTCGACTCTCGCCGAATCACTTCCTGCAAAAATGGTTGCAGTTTTTGTGGGCGCAACGAGTGGTATAGGCGAATATGCAATGAAAGCTTTCGCGCAGCAGACTATCCAACCCAAAATTTATTTCGTCGGGCGCTCGCAGACTGCTGCTGATCGAATCATTGCCGAAGCAACCCAACTCAATTCCTCTGGTGAATACATCTTTATCAAATCTAATGTCGCGCTTCTCAAGAATGTCGAAGAAGTATGCAGGCAGATCAAGGCCAAGGAACAGTCTGTTAATTTGCTATTTCAAACCCAGGGCACTATGTCGACTGAACGTAAGCATTCTGATCCAGTTCTTTTGTTGTTTTTCAACGCTAATGCATCCAAACATCAGTCACCACCGAGGGTCTATGTTATACATACGCACTGACAATTACTTCTCGAATTCTGTTTGCTTTGAACCTCCTGCCAGTTATTCAACGGGCAACTCATCTCAAGCGGGTAGTATCTATCTTTGCTGCAGGTTTCGAAGGAGATTTTGATAATGACTTTGCATCCGACTTCATCGTTAAGAAACCATTGAAATCACGACCTCATATGGCTTCGATGATCACCATGGCGAACAACGTATTGTCTCGACTAGCAAAAGATATCAGCTTCGTCCACAACTACCCTGGATTCGTCAAGACACCTTTTGGAAAAGATGCGAAGGGCTTTTTAGCAGTAGCTCGTGTGCTATTCAATTTGTGGTCGGACATGTTTGTCACATATACGACTTCAACTGAAAGTGCAGCGTTGAGTTTGTTTATTGCAACTAGCGCCAGATTCTCTCCAAAAACAGGTGGCTGTACGGGAGCACCACTCTTACAAGGCATGACTGCTGCTAATGGTGCAGACGGAGATCTGGCTAGCGGAAGTTACAGCATTGACGCACACGGCGACCATGTTTCTCGTGAAAAGCTCGAGCATCTCATCACAGCGAGGGACAATGGATCAGAGGAAAGAATGTGGTTACATGTTATTAATGAAATTGAGTCGATCACCGGAAGACGTCACTCTTCTGACATCTTATAAATGTACTTTTGCAGATGGTTGGGGGCAAGTAATGCTGTATGTCGCGAGACATTGCAGCCATCGATTCCGTTTGCTACATGCGCCATTACACAGCTACTAGAACCAGTAAGCTTATCAGTCAGAATGGAAGTTACAAGTGGTTGATAGTATTAAGTTGCGTGTTCTCTGAAATGAAGGTTTTTAGATATTATGGGACAACAGGAACCCTACCACGTTAAAGAACACAATGGTTTAAATGGCTTACCTACGAATTAAGTAAGAAAGACAATAAAGAGATTTTCCAAGTATTAAAGCAAAATGATTCCATGCTTGGCGTTGATATCCGCTTGCGCAAAAGGGCGAGAATTGTGGTCACCACCCGGCCGATATTAATCAACAACCCTTCAGTAGTGACTTGGTAATCCTCGAGTTAACCTTTGTATGAGCCGAAAAATGTGATGATTTTATTTGCAGCTAGTAATTCCTTTGCGTGGATTCAAAAAGTTTCCTTTAAATTTAAGAGGACTGCTGCGTAAAAGGTAACCTAGAACTATCATCAAGATAAGAGACCAGATGCACGTCCTTGCGACTCCCTTCATCTTCGAGTCCGTCACCCTTCACCTCATAACGTACGGGTGGCATATTTTCGACCATCTTTCTCAGCTGTTTCTGGTCGTAGACGCCATCATTGGAACCCAAACGGCCCTGTAATGGCCTAGCCAAATCAAGTACCGCCCTCCATAAGCCCATCTTCCTGCCTTGTTTCACGAGCGGACTGTGTGTTGCTACCTCTGCCCATATCAAAAGCAAGCTAGCGGACCAAACAATCTGGAGGACAATGATCACGATCAAGAGCTCCCAGGAAGCGCCCCATTGGTATTTATTCCCGTTCGGCAAACAGACTATCGGACGTGAAGTGAGTTCCTCAAGTTTGTTGGTGCGCCCAATATTATCTCCCTTGGCTATGTTGAACTCTCCTCCGTAGGAGAATCCGCATGCCAGCTTGGTGGTTTCGTTAAAGGTGTAGGCTTTGTTGTTTATGTTAACAGCCCTTCCTGACATCCCACCGTAGGAGTGTGGGCTAAAAAGAAAAAAGTTCTGGCAAAACGGGTTTCCAAATTCGCCCAAGGCGCTGGTGTTACCGACAGGCACACTCCAGGGGTTTGGCTTGTCTAAACCGGTGTCGGCGAAGGAATACGCGGCACTTGCGAGGTAATCGGCAATTGGTGCGGTACCTTGGTTGGCGAGCTGTACTGATCTGACAGTTGCACCAACGAGCGAGGTGGCTGCGGAAACCAAAGTCGGGAATATCAAGACGTACAACATGGCCAGCACTGCCCAGATCAGTGTAAATTTAGTCCACAGCTTTTTGGCCGAGGCAACAGATCTAGCAGTAATGCCAATAGTTGCAAAACTATTGGGGGAGAGTGAGATTGCGGCAAATAGATCCAAGCGTACCTGCTCACTCTCAGCAATACGCATCAGGGTATCAGTGTACACTCTGTATGCTATCCAAGCCAGACATGCCTGCCCTGCACGTCCTACAAGCACGTCGAAAGCAATATCAATAACCTTGGCAGAGGTGAAAGATAAAGGTCCTGTCCTGATATTGATTTCAAACAATGTCGACCACGATGTCCAAGGTTGGTGCACGTCGCAGGGCAGTGAAGAGCTTTGTACCCCAGTCCCGCTATACGTCCGAATTCCCAATAGATATTTTGTTGATAGACTTTTCAAGAGAACAGGTCCCCCGACGCATAGCAACACAAGCCATGCAGCGGCATGCCAGACTCGCCATTTCTTCTGCCTCTTGCTCTTCGTTTGGCGTATTGAAACGTCCGAGGCGATGTTCTGAAGTTCATGCATTTCGGCTGCTTCGGCGGCCTCATAGCGTGGCTCTTGTTTAATCGCACGAAAATTCTGTAGCCCCATGGCGACCTTTTGGTTTCTATGAGTCGGAAGTTCAGGTCAAGCCTGATGGCAATACTGGCCGGTGGTATGTACGGATGGAACCAGTCGAGAAATTCTACATCCGAAGCTGTAGTACGAAAGTAAATAAATGACTTGCTGTTAGATTTCGATTGTCAGATACGACATTGTATCGACCGATGAGAATGATGGAGAAAGGAACGGGCTGGAGCGATTTACTTCATCTAAAAGGCGTGTCTCAGCCGCTGCGGCGCCTGTGCCGCAGCACCAGGTGACCAAGCCAATCAAGTCCCCCTGGAAAGGAGAAACTGCTAAGCCGCTCTCCCAGACTTCGCACATCGCGAATTTAGGCATAAAACGGTTGCCACCCGAAGCCTTGCGGCGAGATCTCGGCCGCGATATTCGTTCCGCATTCTCCCCTTTCCCGCATTCGCTTAATATGTTGACCAAGGAGGAGAAGTATTGTGGAGGCGAAGATTCTAGACCCTAGGTAGCTTGTGAAAAGGTAGTAGGACGTGGTTACTCGCAATTGGGAGTAAACTGTTTGCAATTATATTTGTGACTGTATTGCTCATTAAACTAAATAATTGAAAGTATATACCGTAAGCATCCGGGACTAGCTTCCTGTCATTAATGGTTTGAAAAACGAATTGAATATTTTTACTCATTTAACTTTTCAATTCTTATACTAAACATTATTAATTATATATCCCAAGCGTATTAGTGCTATTGCTGTAATCAACCTCGCACAGCTCTCCGTATTCACCAACTACACTGGCTCTCTCGGCAAGCCAAGGCATCATATCCTCCTGCTTACAGCTTTCCCCAGGACCATCCGAACACCCATACAAGCTCTGTGGGCTATCGTTGACAAGAACTCGATAGAAGGTACCACGATCGAAGCCAAAACTATCACATTCCATCTTTTCGAAGGCAACGTTTGTCAAAAATTGGAGGATGTTGCTCGACTTCCACGCTCGATTGTGGTTGATCGTCGTCAATGGCATTGTACCGTTGATGTTATTGGCTCCAGAGAATGCGGAGTTGTTAAACAGTCCGAGTGCGACGAGAACGGTTGGCGGAAGTTCTCGGTGTGTGAACGAGATGTATAAGTCTTGGTCTGTGGTTGCATTTGACATGTTGTTCTGTGTTGCCATCAAAGTGTTGAAAGTCGCATTGACCCATGGAAAGCCGATTGCGCCCGACACAGGATTGCCATACCCGGTGTTATAATGGTATTGAATGTCGTTGGCATACTCAAACCCCAGCCACTCATTCGGAGTGAGGAGCTCGAGGTTGCAGAAAGGAGAAGAGCCACGAATGACAGTTTCATAACCACAGATAAGTGACATTCCGTAAATGTCTGTAGCCGTGAAGTTGAATGCAGGAGCGGCGGCATTGAAACGACCAAGAGCTGGCTTGGTGTAGACCTCCAGAAATTCCTGCGAAAATGTTAGCGTCCAGAAAGTTAACGACATCGCTGAGAACTTACACTTGACTGGTCGCTTCCAGCACTGGAACTGTATGCTGGACAACTCTTATATGGTGTCAGAGAATTTGCACCATCCTCCTCGCCCTCTTGAATTTGAACAACAGAGATATCGCTCTCGTCGTCGGCCAGTCCATGAGTCAACGACTTTGCCGATTTGACTGTCCTTTCAGCCGTCGATGTCCAGATTTTCTTGGGAGTCCTCAATGATTGGTATCTTTGCGCAATATCTACCCCGAGTTTCGTGGCTTGCAACTTTCCGGACCTGGTCAACATTTCCTGCTCCGCATCTGTAATTGGATCTTGCCATGTAGCAAGAAATGACAATACTGGGACTTTCGTCCAGTCAACCGTGGTATTTTTTAGTTTGTCTGTGAACGGCTCGATATAAGTCTCATAGTCAAAGTCGTTTGCAAAGATGGCAGCATGGCGAACAAGGTACGCGGCTCTCGTGACATTGCAACCTTGTGGTGGAGCAGGATCAAGAGGAGGGTCAATTGGGTCGAAAGGTGGTGCAACACCTGCGAGATGCCTCAATGGATCGAAGTGGTAAGAGTTCGGTGAATGTGACAAGACCCCTGTTGCGCAGAGGGCTGTGGTGAGGAGGAGAGGCGAGGAGAACATCTTGCAGGGAGGAAGACGGAGAATTGTTTGAGGTTAGAAGGAAAAGCAAAATATATTTTGGATGGCAGTTCTTTGTTTATTTAGATTATTTCTCAACCCACAATTAATGGCACCAATATCACCCTGTCATCGTCACTACCGTGTTGGTAGGGAATCTGACCAAGGCAGAGAGATGAGATGGACCAAAATAAAAGGCGAGGCGAGGAGGTTTGACGTGCGCCAAGACCGATCTACGCTTTGAGCACAATTGTCCGGTCAGGTACCGTCGCCGGCACATTCGAACCAGAAAGCTTGACTTGACTTCCTGATCTGATATTTGGTGCATAAAGAATTGAGACACAGAGAGAGAGAAAAACGACGCGGTGGATTGAGGAGAGGAAAGAAAAGTTTTGCACAACAGAGATTGACGGAAAGACCAAACTGCTGACCTGGACAGTATATAATGATGAACCCCGTTCGAGGGCTAATGAAAAGTTCTAATCGAGTAAATGAGTCCAGGCAATGCGACGCATGAGATAGATCATTCGAACCGTGTCAGGAATCTGCTGCCATACAGCTGATCTTGTTCACAACTCCTCGAATAAAGGGGCCCATTTGGCTAACCCTTCTCCTACCCTCTTCCTCTGCCAAGTTTGGTAACTAACTCGTATGCTTTCCTCCTTTTCATGGCGTGGCCATTTCAGACTCTGTTAAATTCCGTATGGCTGCACCGAGGATATGACCGTCTAAGACTAGCCAGCACTTGGTTCGTCTCTGATCAATCGTGTATCGCATTGGACAACCGCGCAGAGTTGCTCTTGGTGGTTTCCATCGTTCCATAAGAACCGCTCGCCATCAATCCATGAGATTCCACGCGCCCGGTGTGATGAGTTTCGAATCATGACAGCTGCGGTTGATGCCACATCTTATGATCACTGCATTTTCCTTAACTCTGCCTCAACCTTCGACCAAGCTCCTTCAATCTTTGCTCTTTCCGCAGGGCTCATTCTCCGTAGCACATATCCCGCGACAACACTTGGTTCTCTGCTCTCCGGTCTCCCAATTCCAACCCCAATTCTCTTGTATTTCTGACCCGGTAAGCACTTCGCAATGTCCTTCAGACCATTATGCCCCTTTGCACTGGCGCCTCCATCACGGACTTTCACTTCGCCAACCGGTAATTCCAGTTCATCGTGTACGACCACCAACTTCGTGGCCTCCCCTCGCGATTCTCTCTGGAATTGTCGCCATGCTGCTGATACTCCTGCGCCAGAGACGTTCATGAGAGATTTGGACTGCCATAATGTAAGGTCGGAACCTTGTGCGACTACGCCATTTCCATATGATCGGTCCCGTTGGAAGGAGGGGTAGGCAAGTGAGGTCGCTAGAACGGACAGGACGGTATGGCCTGCAGAATGGAGGGTGTTCGTGTATGGAGCTGGATTGCCAATTGAGCAGACGAGGATCCGAATTGGGGATGTCATCAGCAGCTGCTCTTCCAATAATTGGAGGGGAAGAATGACTGGTTGATCTGTATTTAATTCCTCGTGAGTGTGTATGGGTTCTGTTACTTGCAATTGGCGGCGTTGCTTTTTCGCTTTCTTCGATTTTCGTGGTGTTGTTTGGCCAAGAGGTTTGACCTCTGCCTCCAAAATTATCTCGTCGGGCCTAGACATCATCCGTGCAGGCCACGCTGGCAATCGACAACTTTTTGTATGTAAGGACAACAAATTCGATTTTGGTTTTCAAACGTAATTATGTTACAAGTAGGCACAAGTTATAACGAGCCATTTATAAGCAATGATTCATTCAAGTTCAGTTGTCTTCCAAACAAAGACCTTGTGCTGACCTTGAAAGGCCTTTCAAGCGTCATGGAAGAGTCATCGGCGAACTGTGGCGAAGCATTAGTTATCAGCGTGCGGTCAAGCCAAATATCTGCGAATCTCGAATCCTCAATCGCCAGTCACATTAGTCTTCCGTGGTGACTGTTTGAAAGAGAAAAGGTAGGCACAGAACGGGTGTGAAAACTCGCAAAAATCTAATAACAATTAATCTACTCCCCTCTTTTAGTAGAGACGCCGTGACTCCCCATTCCTTCCCATAAAGGACAAAACAGAATGACAGAGACCGCTATACTGTTCCGCTGATACTCAAATCCCGAATTTCCTGTAACACTTCTTCCACCCTGCTATCAAGATGTCCTTGCGCATATTGGTCTCTGGTATCTGCGTCTAGATATTGCTGTACCTGCGCCATTCGTGAATATGCTTCCGCACAGAACCGAAGTTGGATTTTGACAAGCGCTTCGAAACTGGGGTCCAGATACGGTACGCGAAGATCGATCAGTTGTGGAAGTTCGGTGAAGAGTTGCTCGTTGAGTTGCTCATATGCTGCCTTTGCCATCTCGGTTTCCTTCTCCGCTCGTGGGAGCTTTGTGACATCTTTATCTGGCTTCTCGACAAGTTTCTTGACTTTCGCGCGCATCGCATCGTAATCGAGGAGTTTGTGGTTTCGTTTCTTGATGCCTATGGAAGTCAGCGACAATCTGCAAAGAGCGCAGGATTCCTACACTCGTTGATGTCCGGGAAGTATGCGCAAAATCGCGATATAGGCTCCAATACGGTCGTTCTATCTCGTCAGCATGCCCCAGAAAGACATCATGGAACGTATAATGTCGCATACCGATATGGCCCATCCAGCGCTTTAATCGTTTCGGCGTCAAGGTCCTCCACGGCTTGTTTGTAACTCCTGCTAACACCATCCTTTGCGCCGGCATCCCCATAAAACGCATCAATTGTTTCTGCGATTCGCATTTGAGACGCCGTCATTGCTCTGAGAGAATCCAAGTATCCCTTTGCTTCCTTTTGTAATCTTGTCGATGCGGCTTCCATTGTTCGGTAACGTCTTTCTTCAACCTCGTAATCCCTATCGTTCGTTTTCTCGACATGACCTGCGGAAGAGTCAGATCCTGAGAGTGACAGCAATATCGAGGAAGCCTGTACCTGTTTTCATCATGACCTGGGTCGTTGCCCGACTGACATTCTTTTTGAACCCTGGAGGGGGTATTAGCTAGTTGATCGAGCTTCTTGTCGGAATGACCTACCCTGCCACGACATGATTGATATGCGGATCCGTAAGCTCTGGTAGTGATAGATTTAGTGAGTTGACGTGTGAAGGTAGAGTAACGAGTGGACGTGTATGGCGGCGTATGTTGCCAGAATGAAGTTATTGATGTCGAATGTCGACCTGGCAGAGCTACGTAGTCTGGATGTGGCTCAGCCCAAAGCGGGGGTCGGAAAAACGGTACTTCCCCGCCATCGCAAAGAATTTATGTGCAAGCAGAGGAGCGACATCAAACATTCTACATCACAACCAGAATTGAGTCACTGCCCTCCACATCAGCCTACGACTTTCGACCGCCCAAAATGCCATCCAGAGGAAACCCAAACGTGCCCAACAAACAGCGGCGCATCGCAAGCAGATCCAAGACCCAATCCAAAAATGCCAGCAGCAAAATCACCAAGAATCCGCGAGGAACCGCAAGAAGCACCGTTTTACACCCAACCAGTGGCCCGCTAGCTCCAGTATCAGGAAAGAAGGCAAGAAAGTTAGAAAAAGCACAGAACAATGCGAGAAGAAGGGCAATTGAACGGGCAATGGAGCAGGAGGGTGAAGTCGAGATGACTGGTAAGCGGTCTACTCAAATGTTGTCGTCTTTTCTGACCGGCTTAGATGCGCCAAAAACTACGACATCGAAGAAAGTAAAGCCAGACGGGGAGAAGATGGATGTCGACGAGGTCTCATAAATTAGTCTTTGGGACTAGGTGCATTGCTTTCGCGGGCGTTTGGGAAGGAAAATGTGGATTGCGTGTGGTTATTTTACCTGATACCCAAGATACCAAACGCATTATGACGACGGTTTGACCACACGCTCTTTTCTCGCATGCATATTCAGCTTAGAAATTTGGAATAGAGCACAGTTATCCCAACGGTCTTGTTCGTCAAGACTCTGATCAAGGCCTCACTCTTAGTAGAGTTTGTCCCGCAAACGTAGAAGGGGGGATGGGAAGTGGACGAACTCGTTCCTGCTCCACTACCTCGAAGATGTTGTCTAGCTCTGCTACACTTACCAAATCGCAATCACGATGCTGCTGAACTCTGTCCTCTGCGATGAATTTGAAATGAAACCGCGTTCAAGGAAATGTATAACGAGACAACTTTGGAGCCGAAAGCCATCCGCACCGCACTCCTGTGTTTCACATCTGTGGTTCCATTTTTTGTAAAGTCCTGGCAGTTCAACCTGACTGATATTGGATGTGCCTTCAACATTCACATTTGTAGAATCTTGAAGCATAACACTTCACGTGATCCAAACCCGTATCTTCGATTTTCCAGGTTTTCGTCTACACTTCGCAATGTCAATAAAAAAGATTCCTCGCTGGGTTGCCTTTTTGTACTGATAGTAATAACCCGTTATGACGATCGGAGGATCTATTTATCATAGGGAAGCTTATGATGGCTGGTGTGATGTTAATAAACGCGACCCGCAAGACATACAGGTGTTGACTAAAGCTCATGCCGAGATTCGCTCTTTATATCTGGCTGGGACGTCCCTCTTTACTAGAAAACTCGTTTTAGATGTCGCTGAGCAGCTTCAAAGGCTCCAAAGGGGTCCTGGCAAAGTATTCGTAAGTGGCATTAATGGAGACATGGTAGAATTTGCCATCAAAACAGGCCAAATTCTGTACTCTGGGCCAGTCATCGAGGCTGTAATGTATGTCATGTTCCTGCTTTATTAGGTCCCTCCTTACATTTGCCTAACAGCGGCTTAGTGGAAATCCCTTCATATATTACTGTTCTATCCAAGAACTCACGTCAATTTATGAAGACACTATTTCCCGTATTGCATACAGTAGCATTCGGATTCATCATTACATAAACCACCGCGACAAAACCACGAAGGAAACTAGAGATCTAGAGGGGAAAATTATACCTATCGAATCGCTTGAGGTCACCAAAGCAATCTTCGAAACAAACCTGCGAAAGTGGGAGGAGAGCGAGAAATGCAAGCAAATAGTATCGGTTTTACAGTCACTCAGCCCGTCCGGTCGATGTCCAACAGATCGTCGCTCTTGCTTTCGGTTCAATGAGACATGACTTAAACCATACGCCGCGGTCTTCATATCAACATGCATTGGTTATGAGCATTCGTAAGATTCTCAGCGCAAAGAGCGGAAACATGCATAGCATCGCGTGTTATACGCAAGATCCCAACTATAGCGAAATTAATCTGCGCATCTTAAAGGAGAACGGCTTCACAGTCGTAGATGACCCATGTGGGTTTCTCAAAGTGGACAAGTCTACTTTGGTGGTTTCATTTTCGCCCCAGGTGCCAGTCAAGCAGATTATTTTCGATCTTACTCGCCTAGCTGCATTGATATAGGATCGAATTAATAAGGAAGAGCTCTACATGATTTTTGAAACCCTGGACGTCTTCGAGAACGAGTCCCTAAGATTTACAGGTAGGATGATGACACTCTATCCTGGCCCCTAGGTGCATGAGTTCAGCAGCCTGTATCCGCCGATTGACAGCGTCATGCGCGATAATATTCGTAACGCGGGTACAGAGAAGGTCAGCCAGCAGCTTTCTTTGAGAGATTTGATGCTCAACTACGGGCTCGATATACTCTTCCTCCTGATGTCCGTTGTTCTGCCTCTCGATGTCTTCGGTCGGACGACGGCGGAAGTAGTCGGGACGGTATTCTTCAGAGATGATGTTTCGACGCCTGCTCCTGGCACTACCGATTAAGGTGGTGAGACGTCGAACCGAATAGGTAAGACATTAATGTACACGAAGTAGTCCAACTGTCTCCTTTCAACAATCTATAATAGCAAAATTGGCTATAAGATCCTGATTGTTAAATTTACGATAATTAACTACAGAGCTTCGCTAATGGATATAATTCACGGTCAGACATCCTCTTGAATCTCAGTGCTGTCATTATGACCAGAGTGTTGTGGCAATAGCATCAGCATCCTGAGAAGTTACATGTACTCTAGATGCGAATAGATGCAGATCACGTCCAAGCTAAACTCGACCTTGCATCCGCCCACTTCAGCTCATGCAGCACTAAGATCTTGAGAAGGAACCTGTACGAAGTACTCTTGATGCGAATAGTTGCAGATCACGTCCAAGCCAGATGTTGGTGATAAGGGCCAATAGCAAATTTGGCTCACAAGACGCGGGCATGTAAGTCGATGGCAGACATCTCACTCACTAGCAATATAGGACTTGTTACTGTGGTTCAGCAAGCCACAACGTGCCGATCATACCTCTTTCTGTCAGAAATTCGTTCCCCTAACAAGGCGGGATGTCTTAACAAAGTTAAAATTCTAGACCTTGTGCCGGTCACCGGATCGCCTTTGAGATGATTCTAACGCCACAAAAGTTAAAAATAAACGCCAGATCCCACATTATAATCGATTTTAACATCTAAGACAGCCAACCTTTACCTCTACCATTTTGTCATTATAGGCCGAGATAGTGAGACGCTAGATGCTGCCTGGAAGCGCGCCGACGCAGATACAGCTTTGCGCCGTGCACTTCGGGGCCCAGGGGGCCTTAGCCAAGAGGAATTTGATAAGAGATCAGAAGAGCTTCGGAGTGTGCATATTGTCACTGACGAGGAACTGAAGGAGCGTAAGTAGCGTTTTGTGTTTTTCCCTCCTTGGGATGATTTCTATCCGTCAGTTATAATAGTACCCCTTACTAATTCGTATGTACTATAGACCGTATGAAAAAGGTCAAAATGGTGCAGCAGATGTGTAGCGGGCCTGATGTGACTGAGGAAGACAAGATAGAGATTTGGGAGATGTTTGGATTTAAATATAACGAGCGGATGATGCTAGCGACGAAAACCTTGTCCGAGAAGATGGATAGCGGGCCTGATGTGACTGAGGAAGAGAAGACAGCTATCTGGTCTTCATTTGGACTTTCTGAGCAAGATCGGTTGAGGATGTTTGAACCATCAACGCGGGACTGAGGTACAGTGCGAGTTTCGCACTACGCATTGACATGTCTACGTTGCTTTAGAGACATTGTTGAATAAAGAGATTGTTGTCAGAAAGAACAAAGATATCGAAAGATTGATCTCTAAATCTAAATTCCCTAATAGACAACGCTACAGTGAGTTCAACAGGTGCAGCCAATGCAGTGAAGTATATTAGCCTCATAACTTATGAACTTTGAAGGTGGGCTAACATAAGGCGAATTGCGGGATGCGACGCTCAACACCTGTACGTGGTGCATCCTACGAGCCTGGTTTTTTTTACTTTTGCAGAGTTTTCTAGAGCCAAGATTGGGTAACGAATGCCTCTAGAGCACAAGCTACAAACACCTATCTATACCTATACCTTCTACGAATATATCCTCTACTTTCGACCTCCTCTCACCAGCCGACCAATATTCAAATACATACCCACGACTGGAGGAAAGAATTGAGAGCACGCTGCGGGGGAATAAGGCGGGTTATGATATTGTTACTACAGGATGATAGCTTTCGTTTTGGAGGAGGTGCTTGTGCCGTAGCAGATCAGACACGATATTGGCTGTCTGTCCAGTGGGTCGTTAGTGGGCTCTTAATCACACGTCAGTAGCTCCTTAATCACCTTGCAACTTACTTTGATCACGCTCTAATTCAGCTCAACTGTGTAGAGAGTCGGATGGTTGTCGATAGGATTGTGCCAAGTTTCATGTGTTGGTTTCAGTAATAGAAGTATGCACCGCAGGCCGTCGATCGAATGGGGATGGGCAATTATCTAATCTTCTCCGCTGCCACCATCTGTGCAGTACAGTACTGTACTGCACGCCGGCCGTCAATTGTGGTAACCATCCTTTTCTTGTTGGGATTTTTATTCGGGTTTTGGAGATGATATTGTTGGTAACTCTCAGTTATCAGAATTAGGTCACGATCGATCGTAAGGGGAGACACAAGACCAAGTAATACGTTTTGTATTCCTGGTTCGTAGTGTCTAAAGATCTAGCTAGGTCGGAAACAAGAAGGTGTATAAATACAGCCAAAACAAAGAACCGCGAACTCAACTTTTCAGCTCTCGTTCGCCATGCTCATATGTCTGATCGACGCTAGAGATCTTGTTTCTGCCGATCGTGATGTGTTTACTTGCTCGAATCATGGTGTGAGTCTGACTGAGCCTATCGCGGCACGTTCCGTAGCGTTGTGTAAACTTATGGGTATAGCGAGTACTACTACCTACATGGCCGAAATAACAGCCCTACCTATAATTCCAGACATCGTTTTGCCTTGCAGTAGGGCTACTACAAAAATTTAATCCTAGCTACTACAAGAATTTAATCCTAGCTACTGTAAGAAAAAAGTGGGTTTTAGAGACCTGTTTTTGTAGTAGGTCGAAAAGAGGTAGGGTTATTCTTAAACGATATACTTAATATATATTAAACGTAGAGATTTAACTAAGCTAACCTAGGAAAAAATAAGATTCTAGAAAAGTCTTAACCTTATAAAGTTATATATATTTCTAGTAAAGAGTAATAAGTCGAGGGTTTTCGTATTTCTACCCTTACTTTTTAAGTAAGGTCTAAGCTTACTTTATAACTCTTCTAGCTATATTACACTAGTCTTATATATAATTATAGTTATTGTTTTATAATACTAATATAGAGCTAGTATAGAGCTATATAAAGAAGTAAAAAGTATTATAATAGTATTTTATTAAAGACTATAAGAGTAATAGAAGAATTATAAGAAGAAAAAAAGAAAAAAAGAAAAAAATTAACTATTACTACTAAGCTATTATAGTATTAATAGTACCGGTAGATAACTAATATATTCTTATTCTTATTCTTAATCTACTTAAGCTTTAAAAATATTAAAAAAAAGAAAGAACGTATAGTAGAAAAGCTATATAGCCGAGGCAATATAGTTTTCCCTCTATACGTAGTAGAAAAATACTTATTTTAATATATAACCTATAAAAATACTTAGTAGGTACCGAGCCTAAGGTATACTCGAGTAAACTAGAGAAGTAGAAAAAAGAACTCTTAATAACTAAGCTAATAACTAAGCTATAAAGATAATTTATAGCTCGTTAGATAGCTAAAAGCTAGGACTTTAAGGTTTTTATTAAAAAAGGTTAAATATTACTATTATATTATCGTAAAGGTTATTACTAAGATTCTTCTAAGATTAATAATAACTTTTTAATTAACTACTTTCTATGTAGGTTTTTAGAGTTTAATATACTATATACTATATAAATAAGAGATATTTAAAGTTATAGCTTAATCGAACTTATAGATATAAAGTTATTAGTATTCTACTTCTTTTACTTTTACTAAAGGTTAAATTCGATTTCTATAAACTATATACTCTAAATATTTCTAAAATATAAAGATTTAATTAGGGTTAGGGTTAGGGTTAGGG